TTTTATATGTCCACAATTTTTCATCCACACTTTTTATGTTCATACATTTTTAATATAACTGTTTATAGTATATATATATATATATATATATATATATATATATATATATGAAAATGAATATTAAATATATCAAAAACAAATTATAATTTATTGTAATAATTTTATTTGTTTCATATATCTTAAATTTTTAGAAAAAAAAATAAAAAACTTTAAGAAAAAATAAAAGAAAATGTTACCATTGGAAAATAAATCCTAACTATAAATAAAGTAATTATTCTGTCTCCTAACTAAACTGAATAAAACATATATAATTCTCTCTCTAGTTTTTATGGACAGAGTGCATTTATGTCAAAAACTCTACTCGGACTTCGTGATTGTTCCATAGAGTGCAAAACAAATTATATCTTTTGGGTGGTGAGTACAATGCAAACTTTCATAACACTCCCTCTTGGAGACCATTGTCACTATCATTTCTTGTTTTATGTGTTTGTTGCCTCGTTAAAAATTTTATAGGAAAAATATTATAAAGTAAAAAGAGTACAACCACGCAAGTTCCCCCTCGAATGAACCATGTCATCTCATAAATCTTTTTGGTGATGCATTCCAATGTTATGGACGAGTTTTATGAATAATAAAGTGGGAAGTGATTACGTGAAGAGGTCGGCTGCATCGTCACATGATCAGACATACTTTAATTTAATTAATTTATTTTTTCTGATCTCTTGAGTTTATGAGAAGAACTTCAGAAGTATATGGTTGGTTATACCACTTTTGATATATCCTTCCTTTCTTTAAGTTACGCATGCCGCATTATCTTCATATAAAATAGTTAGAGTCGTATCTTCATTAATCCCACTACTTGAAAAAGGTGTAGGCTTATTGATCTTAGCAATATACATTCTCTACTTTCTTTGTGGAGTGAGATTGGAAGAAGTAGTAACCACTAGTGTCTGCTTTTGAGAACGATAAGATATAGCGGTGCCTCCAATCGTAAAAACATATCATATGGTACCTTAACAATATACATTTATCGAGTCTTATGTGGTTTTAATAAATATCATGCTTTTACAAAGCCAGTCATTTTAATTTTAAAGTTTTTATGATAAAAAAAAACCTAAATCAATAGTCCCTTGGAGATATCAGAAGACATATTTAATTCTATTACAATGTCTTCGCGTAGGGATGAACTAAATCTTACCAATAGGTTAACAAAAAATGATATATCAGACCTTGTCTTCTTTGAAAGGTGCATCAGTGCTCCGATTGCACATAGATATGGTATTTCAGGATCAAGTATTTATTTATTTTCTGCAGATTGTCGAAATGGATCATTTTTCAACATTAGATGATCTAACGACCATCAGGGTGCTAAGAAGAGTTTATTTATCCATATTAAAAGGTTTCAACACTCTTTTAGTGCATGTAGACTGATATACAATATAGCCTTTTGAAAATGTTCAATTTGTAAGTCAAGACAATATTTTGTCTTCCCACGATCGTTCATCTTGAATTCTCTTAAATATTCTGATGCCTTTTGTATTTTTCCTTGAGTTCCAATAATGTTAAGATCATCAACATGTACCGTGATAATCACAAATCCGGATGTTATTTTCTTTATGAAAACATAAAGGCATATAGGATCATTTGTGTATCCTTCTTTTATTAAATGCTTTCTAAGAAAATTATTTTAGAAAATTTTATTGCACATAACTCTTTATGTTTGGAATTTAATGCTTCTAGCATTTCCAATTCATCTGACATTCTCATAAAGATATCAGTATCTAATGATCCATATAAGTATGTCATAACGACATCCATGAGATGCATTTGTAAATTTTCATTGACAGCTAAGCTCATTAGAAATCTAAATGTGATCCATCAAAAACATGAGAATGTGTTTCCTCATAATCAATTCTAGGCCTTGAGAAAAACCTTCGGCCACAAGGAAAACTTTGAATCTTATGATCTTGTTTTTATCATTGTGTTTTCAGACAAATACCCCATTTGTATACAATAGGTTTCACATCTTTGGGTGTGAGTACAATGGACCCGAATACATTTCATTTGATAAGCAAATTAGTTCGACTTGAATTTTATCTTTCCATTTTATGTCATGTATCTTTGGCATTCATATACAGACTTTGGTTTTGGATCCTTGTTTTCTTCATTTAATTCCTTTGTCAAAAGGTATGAGAAAACATTATGAATATCATTCATCTCATTTCGTTTTCATATTTTTCCATTATGGATATAATTGGTATAAATCTTGTGATTTTTTTTCAGATTCATGATGCTCTATGTTGTTGTTAGATTCCTAATTCGTTTCTTCCAAAAAATATTCTTTTATTTTGGGAGTATCGTGCTTTTAAGCTTCCATTCATTTTCTAAGTCTTTTATCCTTTTAACCCTATATGTCTACCGCATTTCAAACGTGTTCATGATTCACGTGTTTCAACTGCCATTTCACATTTTGTGGTATTTCAATATAGGCATGAGTATTGCAACGGATATATGTGATTTAGTTACCATTTTGGTATTGGAAATTCATTGGGTAGCTGATTTGATATATTTTGTAAATGCATGACACGTCAAACTTCTAGTACTGGTTGTTTTGAAGGAGGATCAAGGTATGTGATAAGGATGGTACACTTCATTTTATTTATTTGCCTACTTGTTTATTTTCTTCCCTAGAATCGGGAATTCTTTCTCGTCGAAATGACAATCATGCCGTAAAGACATCACCAGTTTGTTGTTCTAGGTAACTAATTATTGATGGAGAACCATAACCAATAAATATTTCCAACCGCCTTTGTGGTCCCATTTTCGTACGTTGTGGTGGTGCTAGTGGAACATAAACTGCACAACCAAAGATTTTTAAATGGATGATATTTGGTTCTCCACTAAATGTTAACTATAATGGAGAATATTTATGATATGCACTTGCTCTTATCCGAATGAGTGTTTCCGCATGAAAAATGGTATGTCCCCATACATAGGTTGTAATTTTTGATTTCATGATCAATGGCCTTGCAATTAATTGTGGAGACTTGACTAAAGATTCAGCCAAACCATTTTGTGTATGGACATGAGCAACAAAATGCTCAATTCAATCCCTGATATCATACAGTAATCACCAGTGTTATCGAATCAAACTATTTTATTTGGATATTCGGAGAACTGAGCTATTAGTTTGATTATTGAGTTAGAAATCTAGGGAATGCCGTATTTCGAGATGATAATAAGCAAAGATGTGACTATCTACTGGATACACTAATTAATACCATAAAGTAGTAAAATGTTCCATATGGAGGATGTATTGTTCCACAAATATCATCATGGATCCTTCCCAAAAATTTTGATGATTCCTTATCAATTTTAGTTGACGGTGGCCTTATGCTTAATTTCCTAGAATATGTAGTATGTGTCATTTTATTACTCTAATATATATCTTGAGTTTTCATTAAATGACCTTGTGAACTCTCAATGATTTTTTCGTATCATTGTAGTACATAGATGACCAAGACGATCATGCCATAATTTGACATCTTTTGAACTTCTTTTGATCACAAGATGTGATTCGAATGCATCAATATAAGTATGATGTAAACCAGAAGGAAGTTCTGGAAACTTTTCTAGTACGAAACTTTTGTCTGATTTTTCAGAAGTTATATTATATATTGTTCTCTTTAATATATAGTTGCAAACTGAGTATCATATTCTTGAAGGTATATATCTTTAAAACTCAACAAATTTATTTTTAAAATTCGGAGAATATAAGGCATTATTTATGAAAAACTTAGTTATATTAGGCACATTAAGTTTGGTTTGTCAATTTATTCGATCAAATATGTAGGATTGACGGTCATTTTGCAGACTTTAAGTTAGAGAACTATCTCTTATTTTTTGTATAGTGTGTGTTGTGCATGTTTTTCTCTACTATTTTCCTTGGTTGTTGTTGTTCCATTTGCATTCTAATCTATTTCTCTAACACACAATTAACATTAATAATATAAATAAATTTCTATAAGAAAATATATTATAGTTACATAAGCACACAATAGTTTTACATTACGCAATAATTATACATTAGTTTTTAACTATGAGAGGAAAGATCTTTGCAAGAAGGAACAATCACAAATTCAAAGTAATTCTTAATATGTTTTCCAAAAAAAAAAATAGTAAAATACCTTTAGTGGTTTCAACTTAACATACATATTTAAGCAAAAAAAAAAAAAAAAAACCTAACATACAGACAAAAAGACTGTAACAGGAAAAAGGCAAAAACTAGGTGTACTTTTTTTTTTTTTTT